AAGAAGAAGAAGAAGAAGAAGAAGAAGAAGAAGAAGAAGAAGAAGAAGAAGAAAAAGAAGAAGAAGAAGAAGAAGAAGAAGAAGAAGAAGAAGAAGAGCCCCATCAAGAGCATCAACCGCTCCCTTGTTTACAGCATTTAAACACCTAGGTCTACCTGCCGCCTTACCTTTGCTAGCTCCACAATAATTTAGCACACCAGTGTACGTCAGTAGACCAGAAACAATTTAATGTCTTCTTCCTGTTTCGGCACTTGGCAAATGGCTTAGCTCTCGGTCTAGTACATGGACTCCTACTGCCCCCCCCCCAATCATCCACGATTTTGAGTTTGAGTACAGAAAAACACACCGTCACAATAACTGTTATTTAGTGTAGAGAAGCAGCAAGACAGGCAGATAGAAACAAAAGAGGGGAAAATACAGAAGTACGACATAGGGGCTGAACCCAAACCAACATCCCGGAACTGCTTCTGACTTGGTGTTCCAGGATAGCAAAATTGATAGCGGCTACAATAGGCGACGCAGTTGTTTAGTTTCAGTTAGAGTTTTACGGCACTTGCAACACAACAAGGCCATATAAGACAAGGAGAGTTTTCTCTATAACCAAACAAATACACACACCGCTGACACCAAACTTCTCCTATAGGTAGGGCAATAACCACTTTTGATGTGGGTCAAGATTTCTGGAAACCCCCGAATTCTGGGTTAGCCTGCTTGTCCTTAAAAGCAGTCATATTATCACCGAATTGACGAGGCGAAGAAACTTACCAGCACCACAAAATCCCAAGATCAAGAACATCACATGCGGATTCGGATCAAGTCTGCCCAAAGTTTATAAAGATACTAATAATTATTATTTTATTATAATCTGACCGAGCCGCGCACCCTTCAAACCTTGATATCTCGACAAAGTTTTGAACCGACAGCATTGCCCAGCGGGGTTGAAAAATCGACGTCACAAAATTATGATGTCGATGTTCTGGCGCCCATAAAAGAATCAATGATGCAAATTTAGCAGCTTTATTGCTTTTGTTAAATTTCTATGCCAAGCTGTTGCTTCAGAGGCAAATGAAATGAGGGAAAATAATGATGTTAACATATGATTATTACAATCCTCTTGTATCCAACCCGATTTTCACACCAACATCTGCTGCGGTTCAAAGGACTGTGATAAATGCCATACATTCCACTAGAAACTATTTCTTACACAGAAATGCTGAATACCTGGTAGCATAGCAAACGACGTTACTTCTCAGATTTTGATCGAACTCGTATCTCGTAGGAGCAACGGCGTTTGGCCCGCTTGAACGTTTTTCGACTCAGTCACTTTTGGTTCGCCTCCACAATTTTCCATTTAACTCACTTTGGCATGGTTTTGATCGAGATCTAACCCTTTCAACAATGGCATTGTATACGTTCAACTCCAGCCTAAACAATTTGAGAGGCGAGACCTCCGAATTCAACGTCCATCTCAGATAGGACTCCAGCCAAACGTGGGGGGAGTCTTGAAAAACTCCCCAAAACAGGACCTTCAGCTTTTTTTTTTTTTGGGGGGGGGGGATGTTTTACGGCGCTCGCAACTGAATAAGGTCATATGAACGCGTGGGAAACATCAGGCATTTTCAGTTGGTAGGAAATTTCGAAATTTGCCCGTGTGGCTGCCGAAGCCTACTCTTATCGATTTTGGACCACCAAGGGATCTTTAACGTGCGCAACTTGCACAAGGGACCTCCGAGATTTTCCGCACTTGTCCGACAGGGCTAGGTGTAGCTCTTACCTACCATAAGATCAGGGGTGTGGCTGAAAGACAGCAGTAAGAAGGAGCCAAGGAGTAGCAGTAGAAAGGCTGCATAAAGTGCCAGGAGCCCAGAGGTGGGAGCAAAGGAGGACCATCAGCTTGTAGCCCAACACCATACCAATTGAGCTAACAGTATGCCCTTAACCCTTTCAGTTTTCAATTAACAGAGCGCCCTTAACCCTTCCAGTTTTCCACAAACAGTATGCCCTTAACCCTTTCAGTTTTCCAATTTGGTAAGAGCTTTCCGCACTCACGGCACGTCTTGGATTTTTTTAAAGCCTGGAAGGGTAAAGTAAAAAAAAGAAATCATGTTAAAAATTCAACAATGAAAATCAACCCTTTCTTAAAATTCAAAAAGTAAACACAGGGGAAAAAAAAGGGGGGGGGGGGGGGGTCTATCGACCAAGACACATCAGATGAGAGACAACACGGAACCACTCAAAATTTATTATCCAACGAGCGTGGCTGTACTTGCATGGGTCGATAATTCCGATCTAAGAAAACGACAGAAGCACATGGCTGATGTGGTGTTTCGCACTGATTTTGTACACATTTAGAGACTTCGAGTTACAATCTCATTCAACTTTTATTTTCCAACATATTCACTAATGTGAGATTTTATAAAAAACACCAACTGTTGTATCGGAAATATGACACCCACAAACGATGTAGATATGAGGACGTGTGTGTGTGTGTGTGAGTGTGTG